GAAGGTTGGAGAAAGAAGAAAGTGAGTCCCAGTCTTCACGTGTTCAGTGTGAGGACACCTGAAGACCTGGGGACGGTTAAGTCTACTAAGTGGCTGGAAATAAATGTCTAGAGCTTTAGACAAATGTGCAGATAAGAGATAGAGATTGGACAAGTTAAATTTACGAAGTGACATTTGCTCAGAGGGTCCCAGCCCCCAAGGAAATCTTCTCAAAGTCTCCTAGCAAAACTGGGTTCCAGTTTCCTCTGTTGTTCAACAATATAATAATAATAGTAATATTTGCTACCTGCCCTGCCTAACTCAAATGATTGTGAAAGGGATTAAATGACATTTTGGTAAAGGTACTTCTCATATCAAATTGCTGTCCCCTGTTAGCAATATTTAGTCGGGACACCAGGAATGAGAGTAGTAGTAACAGTGGAAATCTGACGGATTCTGTCCCTCTCATGTACTAAACATGCCCAAGTCAAACCGACCATCTTCTTTTCACTCATTTGGACCCGCTCTCTGTGTGATGATACATGTCTTTGTCTATACAGTTCACAGAGCAAAATATCTTTGACTTTAAATGCACAGAATTTAAAAAGTAACGTAAAAAAGATTTTTTCAGGCAACTACTATAGCCAGACGTCCTTCTTCATTATATACAAAAAGCTCTAACAGGGTAGGAGTGAGACGGAGGGTCAAAGAAAATAAAAGGACCATAACAATATGAGTTTGCATTGCATTCTCCTTTCACTATGAACCACTGATTATGAAGAACTGGTCGATGTCCAGAATCTTTATAGTCAGGATTTGTTCATTACTCTTTTGCAAGAGACACAGTACCCCCTGAAAACTTCTTTTTTCCTCCAAGTCATGAATTCTTGAAGTTAATAGAGGATTTTACTGAAAGGATTAGCCGATTAACAGAAGAATAGTGATGATTTGGAGTTATATTCTGCTAGATAGCATGCTGTTTTGAATTACCTACAATTGGTGTAGTTTCACAATATTATCTCTGAGAGAGCATTTTCCTTCCTTGCATTTTCTGCCTCTTTCATACCATTGTTAGCACCACAATAGAGAAACCCTGAAAAGCTGTTCACAGAAATAATTTACACAGGAATTTGCACTCTGAGAAACAACCGCGTTTGCACCTCTCCCCTACCTCATATTCAAAAGCACCCACACTTATCTGGTCTCTTTTTCTATGTTCTCCTAAGAGGGGGAGAAATGTATTCACTGTGTAAAAATAAGCTATTGTATCCCCAAAAGGAGATGGGATGCTAATTAAGGGTTCTTTGAATGAACAAGTCATCTTGCATTGTCTACTGGGAGCTGGCTGCCAATTGAATTTTTGGTAAAGACTCAAGAAAAACATTCGAGAGGGCCCCGGCAAGCTTGGGAGAGAAGCAAGCAGTACTTCCATTTATCAAGTAGGAGCACGAGCCTGTGCAAGGATTGTTGAGCGTCAGTGTGAGGGCTGTGAGCTTCCGCCTGGAAGCTTTTCCTGCTGGTTGTGAGAACCACCTTCCCAAAGACCGGCCTGCCTCGCAGGTCTGATTGCGGACAATGCGGTACATACGCCATACTGCTGGACCACTGAATGCCTCTTTCTTTGCTCGATGCTTTTTTCAAGATTCTTTGTGTCTTCTTGGATTTTTCCAGGAGGCTGGGATTTTAAGATGTATACAGTAGGTCGGGTCTTGCAGCAAAGTAATCGATGCTCCATTGAAAGACGCCAGGCAGATTGGTTAGTGTGATTATCTTTTAACAAACTGGGGAAATTTTAGACATTCGACAACTCGTAAAGGAAAAGGGAAATAAATGGCTCTGTTTTAAAATGTTTTTTTTTCTTCATGTTATGTCAGCCAGAGTAAGCCTTTAGCCTGATTGTCTGCCGGTGTTGGGTGTGGGGTGCCATGTAAACAGAGATGAAAAAATGATTTACTTTGTTTGGAAAAGGACCAGAAAATAGAGGATGCAAATGTGTTTTTATTGTAACGGAGGAAAGAAACAGTGGGTCAGTCAGGTACAGTGACTTTCCCCATGACTCTGGCTCGTGGAATAGTGAGTGCTTAGTATGGCAAAATCCCGGGAGTGCGTTTCTGACGCTTACGGTGTCTTTTTCTTTAGTTCTGTAATTCTGTGATTCTTTTGCTGCTCTTTTTGTTACAGAACAGAGGTCCAAGGGGGGCAGTATTTGGCCCACCCAGGGATGCCAAAAATTGTTACGGAACAACAGGGCCCCCCACCCCCGCAAGGACGGTATACTAATACCATCCTTACCACTTACTAGGCTTGTCTGTCTGCCGCCAGAGGAAAGACATCTCTCAATGCCAGAGACTTGTGAAAAGGAAGGGAAAGGTTTATTTAAAGATACACAGACTTAAAATAGTGATCCAATGTCTCCATTAAAATATCAAAGTCCTTTTGGACACCCACAGACACCCGCAGCACTCCCTTCTTTCCCTGCCCTAATTCGGGGTACTGTAACTCAGGAAAAGAAGCAAATGTCCGTGTTTCCAGGCTGCTGGAACCATCAGCTGTGTTGCCGTCCAGGCAGGATCTCTAATTATTCCAAAGTCATGTGGCACCTTCTCATGGCCTACTGGCAAACAGTTCTTTCACCCCTTTTCCAGGCAAAGTCTCTCCTGCTTCCCAGGTTATGTGGACAAAGGGAGCACCTCAAAGCCGTGTGGTCCTCTTCTACCAAAGCTGCAGGGGTCTGCACTCCAGTCAAAACCTCATGGTTCTTTCCTCCACATGGCTTCAGAGACCAGAGGGTCACCACCCTGCCAGAAGCAAATGGCGATTCTCTGCTAAAGCCGCATGGTGATTCTCTCTACCCCCACCTGTGGGGGTCCCCACTCAGCCAGAAGCCGCATGGCACTCCTCCAATGGCTGCCATGTCTGGGTTTTAAATCCCTGCACCAGTCCCCCTTTGCAGCCCCATTTCCGACTCCTCCTACAATCAGTTACACCTGCCAGCATTCCTGTATGATTCCAAGTTTACTGGGCTGCCATCGTGAGTCTGGGCAGGCGTGGCCCCATGTCGTGGAGCCAATCATCTCCAAGCTCTCGTGCAGGCACTGTTACTGGAGGGACCTGCCCCCAGTTACATCTTGGGTGGAAGTCCCTTCCATCCCCCTGGCTCAGAGAAAGACCACAGCTATTTAACATATCTATACAGCCAGTTAAAGGCTATAGATATGCTAAATGGCCATTCTAGAGGTTAGTTGCAAAGTTGTTGCTGTACAAAACTGCTCTCAATGGCCCTGCTCCATTTGTCCCTTCCCCAAACTTACATCTGTGAGGGGGGCAGGGGGAGGACATCTATATGTCTTTCTAATATTTCCTGGACACCTTGAGTTCTGGACCCCGTGCCAAATCCCTTTTTGGGGGCCCCCCTTCTTGGCTGTGCCCTATAAATTTTGAGTTATATGCTCTTAACTTTTTCAAGTGTCATCACGTGTCCTCTGGCAAAAATGTGAAGAAACAAGTGTCCTGACCACTGAAAGGTCCCAACTGAAGGCAACAAGTGAAGGGATTTCCCTATAAATGTGCATGTGTGTTTGGAAGAAAATAAGTGCTATTTAAACAATACCTCTAAGTTAACATTGCTTCCCTGGCACTTGCAATAAACCATCAACTTTCATACTTTATGTTCTTAATCATTAAAATATGTGGTAAAAAACTTAATAGGTCTTTTGCAGTTGATTAAAAGGCAAAATAATGTGTGCTTGAATCTCATTTTGCAGTTTTCTTTTAATAATGTAGCTCAGATATAATACTATAACATTAATTCATGGTCTAATGCATAATTAATGATAATCATTTTGGATCAAAAATCTCAAGGCCAGTAATTGTGAAATATGACAACAATAAAAACAGCAGCAGCAAGTTGTGAATGCTCTTTGTATGCCTGGCTGGGTTCTAAGTGCTTTCCTTATGGCCAGTTGTGAGGGAACCAAGGCCAGAGAGATTGAGCCTCTCGCTTATGGATTCATAGCTAGTAAATAGAACTAAAATGTGAACCTCACCTCTCTGACCCCAGAGATGGCACCTTAACCACCTTTATTATATTGTCTTGTTTACATTATGATTGGTATTACTGTATGAAACCCTTCAAGGAGGGTTTATTTTTTAAATATCTTAAAAATCATTTTTATATACATCTATGGTAACTGGCCACCTAGGTGAAAAAACCACTGGTCCTGAAGAACATACGGCCACACGGCATCGTTGTCGTCACATCTGCTCCACACGCAGGAGAAACTCCATCCCGTGGCCTCTGGCCCGTTACACGTACTCTTCATAGACACTGCCACTCGATGAAGCAGGACGTGGGACTTGCCTCAGCCATCACGAGCAAACATTTATTCCTGGTCATTACACGATAGACTCTACTATTTGAATATTAATTTCTCAATTCTTAATTAAGTTCTTAATTAGTTCTTAATTTTTCTGTGGAGTTTCAGGAAATTCTACCTTCATATTTTGGGTATGAAATTACTAGTAACGGTGTTTGACAGTGTTTACAAAAAGTAATACTTTATTTTTTTTAAGATTCCATTTATTTATTTTCAGGGAGAGGAGAAGGAAGGGAGAAAGAGAGGGAGAGAAACATCAGTGTACAAGAGAAACTCCAATCTGTTGCCTCTCACATGTCCCTAATGGGGGAGCTGGCCCACAACCCAGGCATGTGCCCTGACTGGGGACTGAACTGGCCACCTTTCAGTTTGCAGGCCAGCACTCAATCCACTAGAGCCACACCAGCCAGGGCAAAAATTAGTACTTTGTTTAAAAACAACCTTATTGTCATGTAATTTACATGCCATAAAAATCATGTGTTTAATATGTACAATTCAGTGGTTTGGGCACATTTACAGAATTGTAAATATTGATACTTGATTTTCTTAATCAATTAAATAAAAGCTGAAATACCTAAATGAAAAATACTCCAGGGCCAGTGAGCATCATTAATATTTGCGGTGTTCTTCTTTCTCTTTCATCAGAAATGTGTGCTATACTGGCCTGAAAAGAGAGGGATATATGGGAAAGTGGAGGTTCTGGTTATCGGTGTAAATGAATGTGACAACTACACTGTTCGAAACCTCGTCTTAAAGGTAAGATTACGTGGCTGTAGCTATCTACAAAGCAGATGATATTAGAGGATAACATTTCTACTTTGAAGTTATTATCCCAATAAGTACTGCAGATTTAATTTAAATCAATTAAATAATGTCAAGATGAGAGAGAAATTATAACCATTCCCTCATGTACTTCTTTGTTGTCCGCTACTATTCATAATGGAATGATTAAATTAAATGAGTAGATATTAAGGAAGTTTACTTACTAGGGTGTTGAGATCTTCTACTTTGCACAGAATAAAAGCTCTCTCAATTTAACTTTTTGAAAGCCTTTAACTGAAGGCTTGTTCTGCAGACTTTACCATGATTATTTTTAACGTCACTTTGGTCTATGCAGCCTTAAGGCCTGGAAACTGAGAACAGCAAATCTGTGCTGGTGGGTGGCTGTGGGAGGCAAGACCAGACAAAGCGGTGATGACATCTGCAAAACTTGGCGTTTCAGTAATTTATAGGGACTTTCCCAGGCCAGATTACATCATAGGAAAATTATCTTATTTAATTTACGGGCAGCAGATGCTAAGGAATGTTGCCATGGTATTGTTTCTGCTTCTAGAGAACAGTCATCTCAAAGATTTCTGTCCTGTCTAGAGTCTCACGGCAGCAACACAGTCGTCACAGGGGAGTGGAGGCGGGGCTGCCAACGGCATTGAGGGAGAAGCTGGGCAGAGGGAGGCACTTACCAAAACCTGCTTTGAAACATGGGTCCTAAGTGCCTAGTTCATGCCACGACCCCACTGCAAACTGAGTTTTGCAGTGATATACGTGGACCCTCACTCAAAGCGTTTCTAATCTAGTAATACCCAGAGACCCTCTACAACTGGGATTTTGCACTGCTCTTAAAGACAGAAATTTGGGATTAGTCTAGAAGTGTTAGAGTGATGGAATATAAAATTACATGTTTGTGTATTGGATAAAATGTTTGTAGTAACCTGTCAGGAATGTTCAAAGAGCAGGAAACATACTGTCTCCCAGTTCTTTCTTAGTTACATTTTCATCTACTATTTTGTTCATTATAGTAAACTACAAACACTAGTATATTTAGCATATGTTACATATACACTTTCTATACTAAATATATATTCTCATTTTTTCTGCTTTTTATAGTTTTTGAATTAAGCTTATTGGGGTAACATTGGTTAATAAAATTATATAGGCTTTACATATATAGTTCTATAAGACATCATCTGTATATTGCATTGTGTGCATTTAATAGAGGCAGGGCTGTCAAACTTTGAGATTAGGATTTTTACAGGAAAGTTTTCTCAAGGTGGAAGCTCTTCAGAAATCTCCTAGGCATTTTCCCCACCTGGAAATATTGCAAGTAAGATGGGAATGAGAGAAGGCATGCAGCACTGTGGTTTGGATGACTTTTAGTAGCACAAGTAAATGAGGCATTTGGTGGCTGTTGCTATTTTTAGCAAGGAAGTCACACCCAACATGTGAAGCATTACTGGTACACCTCATGGCCTGATCACAAGACTCCAGACAGCGCCCAGCCCCTCCTACAACTCATGCTGGATGTAGAAGAAGACAGACTTGCATCTGCAGGCCGAGGGCCTGTGGTTGTCCACTGCAGGTAAGGCCTGGACTGTCCATTCCACCTGGACAAAGTGTCCCTCCTTTGCAAAGTCACAGAGCACACCGAAGTTGGGTTCTACTAGTTGGTTGTGACTTTGCCAGTAAATTAAATATTTCTTGACATTGGTTAACTTCCTGATATTTGAGTCTTGGACAAAATGATAGTTACAGTGATAATTTTTAGCATTTTCTGCAAACAATGACACACCACAGGAAATACCACTTCTGAATAAATGGCTCACAGAACAGGAGCCAATTCCATCCTTTACCTTGAAACTTGTTGTGATTCATCTAGTCTCATTGGTCTAATACACAAGAGGAATGAAAGGATTTTCTGATTACCAGTAGATTTCTTTGTTGTTTCAAGATGGTACCTGAACTCTACTTGAATTGTATCTTGGTAACATTTATTATTATTTTACATTTGGTAAAAGCCAATCAACTATTTTAAAAGTTGTTTCATTGCCTTGGCTGGTGTGGCTCAGTGGGTTGAGTGCCAGCTTGCAAACCAAGAAGTCACTCATTCAATTCCTAGTCAGAGCACATGCCTGGTTTGTAGGCCAGGTCTTCAGCTGGGGGCATGCAAGAAGCAGCTAATCGATATTTCTCTTCCTCTCTCTCTCCCTTCCCCTTTCTCTAAAGATAAATAAATAAAACCTTTTTAAAAATTATTTTAATGAAAAACAGATGGAAATAAATTATGAAATGGTTAAGTGGGCAAGTGGTGGTTCTCCAAAACAAAAGCAAAGTTCTGTTACCAGAACATGGGTTACTAGAGGATAAGCCAACAACAGCAACAGATGGCCCTGGCCAGCGTGGCTCAGGTGGTTGGCATGTGGTGTCCCATGGACCAAAAGCTTACAGGTTAGATTCCATGTCAGGGCACATGCCTAAGTTCGAGTTCAGTCCCCAGTCAAGGGTGTGTAGGAGAGGTAAGAGATTGATGTTTCTCTCTCACATCGATGTTTCTCTCTCTCTTTTTCCCTCCCTCCCCTTCCCTTCTCCACTCTCTAATCAATGGGCATGTCCTCAGGTGAGGATCCAAAAAACAAAAAAAATCAACTGGTGTCCATGCTGGTCCTCTTCCCTAATGTCTGGCTTAAAGCTCTCCTCTCATAACTGAAACCTCATCCCCGCTGTTTTCCTTTTAGTGTGCCCAAACTAAAGCAAACATTTTTAATGTTATTTCAAGAACTAGTCATTTATTCTTTATACTTTCTCAAAATTCTGTAATTTGTGTTGCTTCATTTAATATCCTAAGTCTTACAAGATAGCTCTTGATACTACCTTTAATAAACAAAATATGTTATTTTAGGTGATCATTTTAGCCTCTTTTTTGAACCTTTGTGGTTTGCTTAAAAGTAAAATTTATGTCTACTTATTCAATAGCATCATTACCCAGTTTTTAGCATTGAGCATTACCCTAAACTTAGCTTGGGGCCAAGGGAAAGCAACTTAATTGGCCATCCCTTAGGCTGGAACGATCTCCCACCCAAAATCATAAAGCACTCATAATATCTAAAATGAACTAGCCAGTTTCCCTATAAAACCAACTTCCTTTCCAATTAGTGTTTCTAAGAATGAGACTATCTTTTTCTGAGGATTTAGCTACCAATGTTGACAGTTATCTTTGGCCCTCTCTTCTCTTAATTCCAGCCTCAGTATCTAATCAGTCACCCAAATGGCTTTCCCTTCAAAGCTCCCATTATCATCATTTCCTGTCCAGCCACCAAAGTTCAGGCCCTGATGACCCCACTTGCATATTTTAGAAGTAGTCAGCTAATTGCACACACACCCCACTTCCCCATGACCACCCTCACTGTGGCCTACCCAAAGCACTCCTCTTGGATACGGCTCTAAAACTCTCAGCACATGGAGCCCATGGTCAAAACTTCTCAATAGCTTCCCATTGCCTAACGCAAACATTCTTAACCTTGGGTCTGTAGATGTGCTACAGGAGTCAGTGAACTCCTTGAAGTTACTTACACAAATTTGAGTACCTAAAGTTATGTGAATTTTTCGGAGAACTGAAACTTCCTAGTTTTCATCAAATTCTCAAAAAAGGAAGTTTTAGAGGATGAAGGCCAAACCTCTTCCCATATAAGACCCTCATAAGCCTCAGTGGACTTTCCCAATTTATTTCCCACTGTTTCTCTAAAATAACTTTCTGTTCTCTACTCATTGTCGCATATCATGTGTCCTGTTCTGTAGCAATTTTTTCCTTAAGCCTTTTTCATGCATGGAACATTTTCTCTCATTCGTGATAAAATGCCTGCCTTTTCCGTGGCATAGTTCATGTCCTATCTCTTTAGTGAAACAAATGATCTATAGACACCTCAACTAAAAAGAGCCCATTCTACTTCTGAATTCTTTTACACTCACATTTAACAGAAACAAGTTCCAAAAGGGAGAAATAAATGCTCTCTCAGTGCCAAGAGGGGAGCTTTTAATTCAACCCAAAAGGATACGCCCCTGGCTGGTGTGGCTCAGCTGGTTGGAACGTCATCCCATAAACTGAAGGTTGCAGGTTCAATTCCCTGGCAGGGCACCTACCTAGGTTGTGGGTTTGGTCCCCAGTTGGGGCATGTGCTGGTGGCAGCCAATTGATGTTTGTCTTTCACATCGCTGTTTCTCTCTCTCTCTCTCTTCCTCTCTTGGGAGAGGAAAAAACAACCAGGAGAACTGAAGAAAACCTTTAAGCATTGGAATAATGTTGAACGGTATCTTTAAAAATGACCAGCATTTGTGGTTTTAAAAGGTGGTAGGGAGGGCGTTTTTGACTGAAGAAATACCATTAACACAGAAAGGAAAATTGGGAAAAAGCAGGCCTTTTTTTTTTTTTTTTTGCAATTATCTGTGTAAATGAAAAAATGGCACAAAGGATACAAAGAAGACAGTAAAAAGACATAAAGCTTGAAAGTTACTCGCATTCCTATGATTCAAGGTTATGGACACCATGGCAGGGAACTTAGACCTGGTGCTAGAACCACTGGGAGCCAATTACGGTTTTGAGAAGAGGGTACTGTGATCAGGTCCCTAGCAGCTGTTTGCATCATGAACTAGCCCAGGAAAAGACTGGAGACTTTGAAACCATAATGAGATTGTTGCTAATCGTGATGTAAGGAGATGTTGAAAATGTGAGCATAGTCTATAGAAAGGAGAGTGTGGATCATGAAAGCTCTGTAGAGGTGAAAATGGGTAAGAATCGGTAACAGAGTCGGTGTGGGAGGTCAGACGGAGCATGGGCTCCAAGGCTCCAGAGCTGGAAACGTGTGGCTGACTGGTAGTGCCATCGAGGGAAAAGGTCATTAATTCTGTGTTGGATGCACCGAACTGAAGCAAGTGCAAAGCAGTAACCTTGGGATTCCCAATGAGAGGTGGAAAGCCAGGGTGGAGTTTAGGAGAAACTTAAGGAATATAAATGCGGGTTTAAGAAAAATTTACATAAAGACTATTAGTGGTTGAAACTGCTAAAAGAGAGAGACAGATGGAGAGAAGGGTAAAGGGCTTGTTAGGTTGATGACAGGCTGGCTGGAGCAGATGAATGTGTAAACCTTCCTGGGCAGATAGTGTTTCTATTCAACTACAAATGACTTACAGATATGTGGGTCTAGCCACTTCCTCTCTCCTCAACTTAACAGAATCTTTAGTTGTTCACAAGAATCTTCAACATCAGTGTATCTAAGACCAAACTCTCTCATTCCAGATTCCGCCTTCATTGCATTGGGAATACCCTTCTCTCAATTCGAATCACCTTTGACTTTCTGCTTGTCCAACTGTTCAACTCCAGTCCTCCAGACTCACGTTCATGACTCATGTTCATCCACGTGCTTCTCCTTTCCAGTGCTCATTCCAAATCAAGGCCCTGATTATTCTTTGTAGGACAGTGACAATGCCTTTTTCCTATTCTCCCTGCTGGACACTTCCCTCCACCCCCCTCATCCTACTGCATGTCACTAAACGAAAGAATGTGTTCAAGCACTTAGCGCAGAGCCTGGGTTGTAATATTAGGTGGTGAGAGCTGTCGTTGTCACATTGTTATTAATCCTCACTGTTGTTTCACATTTCAAAGTACATTTTAAAATATACATTTTATCTTTGCTATTTTTCTCCCACCTTTTCATTCTTTGTCCTTTCTTTTCAGTGCAGGGATAGGTAGAACAGGGTGTTTTATCGCCACATCCATTGGCTGTCAGCAGTTGAAAGAAGAAGGACTTGTGGACCCACTGGGCATTGTCTGCCAGCTTCGCATAGACCGGTGAGTGTCTGTGGGGTGGGTCCCGGGGACTTCAGAGCAGCGTTGTCTGTCACAACCTACTTGGAGCAGCCTGACTTGCAAATGTCTTAAGCTCCAAAGTCCTAAATCTCTACAGTGACTCCTGTAATGTGTAAGAATATGCATTGCATTAAAAACTCATCAAAAATAGTGTTATCTGCAGCACTGACCATCAAGAGTCCAAAACCAAAAGCTTATGCTTAATCCTTCCTTGTCTCTGACCCAAGTCGCTTACAGTGGTCACTGCTCCTTCCTAGTCTTGCATCCCTGTTCCTTTCCACATAGTCTGTATTTTCATTTGACTTAACCAAATCATCACTTTAGAACCTTGATGTTTTAAAATGAGGTCTATGTCATACTACCAAGAGTCCCCCTTTTTTGTCTAGTTTTTTTAATGGTGAAAAATGCACGCAATAAAATGTACCATCTGAGCCATTTTTTTATTTATTGGATAGCATCTTGGTGGGTGTAAGGTAAAACAGTCACTTTTATATAAAGATCTTTTGATTACCTTTGTGATTATCTCTATAAGAAATTTTTCTTCTTTTCTCTACAATTAAGTAAAGGGATAGTTGACTCAGTGATGGGAAAAGTAAACAGGTGCTCCTTTAGAACAGACACAGAGAGAAAGACACACGTGAGCAGCCGACCTCTCTGCTGTAATTCAGTGTGCTACAGCAGAAGAAGAGTTGTTCTGAGAGGCCAAAATACTGTGTTCTCTTCTTGTATTCATACAATATTGATTAGTCCTCTCCCCTGTCCAAGGCATTGCTCCAGATGCTGCAAGTACAGCGTTGGGCCAATGCATGGGGCTCGAGTGTCCTGGACTTTACATGTCAACAGGGAGGGGGGACATAATGAAGCTAAGAAATAAACAGGACAATTGCAGCCAAAGGTAAAAGCTGTGAGAGAGTGAAAAAAGAGAGTTCTTGCTCTATGACCTGGGGCCTCCTAAAAGTAAAACTGGAGTCATCTTCTCAGATTTTTAGTAAAGACTTATTGAGCACCTACTATGTGATAGGTCCTTGGATTTTAATGGGACAAAATGATTTTTCTGAAAATTCAAGGAAATTATATAATATATATATATCACTTTGAACAGTTTGGCACATAATAAACCTTAAGTAAATGTTCATTGTTATTATTACCTTCATTATTATTAAAATTATGAAGAAAGTCTCCCCTATCTCTAAAAGTGAAACATTCAAATCTCTCTTTCTGGATAAAGTTTTCCCTCCCCACTTTCTGTCTCCTTTTAAATAATAATTTCTCGGTATTTGTATGTGTACCTTTCCTCTATTTTAACTTTGGCTTATTAGAGGCTGTTCATCATGGTGGTTAGGATACTGGGCTCTGGGGACAGATCAATTGCCTGGGCTTGCATCATGGTTCCCACTATTTTCTGGTTATGTGGCCTTGGGCAAAGCATGTAAGACTTCCCATGCCTGGTTTTCTCACTTAGAAAATGGAAGTAATAATACCATCTACTTCTTATTTTTGTTGTAAGGATTGAGAGAATCTGCAAAGCGCCTTTTACATAATAAGTGTACAACCAAGCTTAACCACAGCCGTTACCAACATCCATAGCAAGACACCCAAACACACATCTGTAAACTGGAACTAATAACCTAGACCCCACAGGGTTGGTTATGACAGCATTAAAATGAGATCACACCTGTGATGCACTTAGTGGAACACTTAGCCTATGTTTCCCTCCCTCTCTCTGCCCTCCTCGCTTCTACCTTCCCATACCCCATATGTAACTGCTTCCAAAAATATTTTCTATTTGTATGTGAGAATGCCAATGATCTCTCCTTCTCTCCTCTTACAATTGCTGCCTTAGTCTCCTGACACCCCCTTGCCTTTCATTCAGAACTGTCCACCCAGGTGGAAGAGAGTATGGTGACTTCAGGTCAGACTCTGGGACCTGCTTTTACCCAGAAGAGGGGCCCTCGTCAGAGGGTAAGGAACAATACCCTGTCAGCTGGAGCTGTTCCCACATGGCCCTGATCCCTCCTGCTTTGTGCTTCTGTAGACAAGGCTCCTGGCACAGGACCCAGAACCCTGCAGAGAGTCTAGTCCTTATCCCGGTGCCCTGCTTTTTCGCTGGCTAATGCTGGAATCCCACGAACAGCAGAACCTGAACTGACTAAACTGACTCTGAACCATGTTGGCCTCCAGCACCTGCTCTGACCCTGTTTGGAAAAACATCCTAAAAACCACTGGGCATGGTCTCCTCTGGGTTTTCTGTTTGTTTGTTATTGGTTGATTTTTTTTGCTCTTGTTACTTTTAACCTTGCCTATTCACCTTCCCATCTCCCACCTCCTGCACCTGTTTCTGTAGCCTGACCTTCACCTGGTTTCCACTTCCCAGTCACATTACCTTGTCAAGTCTACCAAACTGTCCTCTAGTTTTGAATGGAATCACAAACACATCTTTGAAAATCACGTCACAATGCCTCCTCTATCTGCTTCTTCCTTCCTAAAGCAAATGGTCAAAAATTTAGCCCTGGCCTTCCATCACCACCAAGGCCTTACCACAACGCTTGTCCTGTTACTCCTGATAGGATCTTCAAAACACAGCCAACTTCTCTGTTCATCTGAAGCGAATGGGTTCCCAGCCCCCTAGATTTGAATTACTGCCAGTATGTGCCTCAAATTCATTCTGATTTATTAATCAAGATCCCTTCTACATGAATTCATTCCGAGCAGGTGTTGTTTATAAAACAGAGCCTCTCCTTCAAACTTTCCCTGGAAGGTTTTTCCTTTTCCTTCCTTCCTTCCTTCATAAAATTAGCGCTGATGTTCCTTTTCTTGTTTCTTCCTTCTGTTGTGCACACCCCTAATTATTGTGAAAAGGAACACAGCAAATCTTCCCCCTTTCCCTCACCCAACCCAACTTCTTGTTCCCCCATCCTTCTTGCCTCTTGCGTTCAGCCTTTTCTTGTCACACCTCATTGACCATGTCCTTAATTCATGATGGTTAAGGGAAAGACGTTCATCTTTCTACTCTTGCAGATTTTTATTCTTCATCAGTTCTTTTAACCTCGTTCCCAACCTAGACTCTGTGGTCATCTGTCCCTGCCTTCAGTTCTGGATCTGTCATCAGACATTGCAGAGAGCACTATTCACACTCAAAAGTGCATTTAACCATGGCCTTTTTACATGGTCTTCAAAACACATGTCTCCTTTAACTTCTAAAGTGAACCCTGATGAGGAAAAGAGGTATTATTTGGCTTCTTTTTTTTTAATATAAGGAAAAAAGGATTCAAGACATCGAGTAACTTGCCTAAGGTCATGGTACTTAGAAAATGACAGAATGGCCTTCTTTTAAAATCAGAACTTCTGATTTCTAACTCAAAGTTATGACTGTTGTAGATAGAGTAAGCAGGCTTTTGGAACACATTTATTATAAAACCACTTGACAAAGACCTATCTCTTTGGTAATGCTTTGCCAATTTTTAAAAATGTAACAACACCATAATTTTTTAAAGATTTTATTTATTTTTTTAGAGAGAGGGGAAAGGAAAGAGAATGAGAGGGAGGTAAACATGTGTGAGACTGGCCTGCCCCCAACTGGGGACCTGGCCCGCAACACAGGCATGTGCCTCAAATGGGGAATTGAACTGGTGAACTTTCAGTTTGCAGACCATCACTGAATCCACTGAGCCACACCAGCTAGAGAAACACCATAATTTTTAAAACAATGTTTGGTATTCATGACAGCTGTTTCACAAATAGCTCAATAAAGTGGTAATATCAGCAGTTGCCTTAAGATTAGAATTTTTTTTATTGAGCATCTTTTCGTATGGACATATATATATGTCTTCTTTCTTTTCTTGCTTCCAGCATTTCAGTTATTTATCTACTTATCATTTTTAAATCACAGCTGACATTCAATATTATATCAGTTTCAGGTGGCTACTAATGGTGGTTAGACATTTATGTAACTTACAAAGTGATTCCCCAATAGGTCGAGGTCCCACCCGACACCATGTATAGTCATTCCAATATTACTGACTCCGTATATCATGTTGTAATTTTCATCCCCGTGTTTCTCTTCAGAGTGTATACATGTTTTCCCTAAGAGTGTGCTTTGAGGTTTATAGGAAATTTGTCTCATTCCAAAATATCTATACATGGAGGATCCCCAAAATACCTGCATATGGTCAATAACTGTAATACTACTATCAAGGAGACAATCTTTTTCTAAAGGAATCATTTGTTTTTAAAGTTTATTAACCCTAGAGATGAGAGCCGAGGGTGACCCTGTAAGTCTTCTCAGCTATTAACACTTTAATGTAAACAAAATGATCTCTCCTCCCCAGCATAGTAGCTAGAGAGAGTATAACTCCCTGAATTATCAGTACAATCAGAACGCAGGTACGGATGAAGGAGAATTGAAGAGAAGCCTCCAGAAACTGGGCACGCCTGAGGCCCTGCAGTCCAGGGGGCTGGAGACAACTCTTGGTCCCTGGGAAGAGGAGGGGCACAGAGGGAGCAGAAAAGCAAGGGGCACAGAGAGGTAGCAAGGGACACCTCACAAAGAGCAGCTACCTCGTTTGTGGGACCCAGTGCAAAATGAAAATGTGGAGCCCCTCTCTAAAAAAATAATAACTAAATATTTCTCGATGGGACAGCAGAGCATTAACCGATCAGCAGGGTCCTTCTCAGCACAGGGTGTGGGGGCCCATGTGACGGCCCCAGTCACAGGCCCGTGAAGCCAGACCCACCTTGGGGTGTTTTCAGGATGAGTGTTTGTAGATGGGCCTGGGCCGTGTGTCCTCTGGAACAGACACCTGAGATCTGTGCTCCAGGTGGGGCTCCTGACTCCTACATTTGTTCGTTCATTCAGACATTGACTGAACACCTGCTACTTGAATGTACACCAGGCACCTGCGTGTAGAAAGATGGATTCCAGACTGTTCCTCGGAGCACTGTGTAATTATCAATCAAACTTGAGAGCCTGCTAAGTGTCAAAC